CCACCTGCTGCCGCCCCAGCTGCTGTCCGACCACCTGCTGCAGGACCACCTGCTGCCGCCCCAGCTGCTGCAGGCCCAGCTGCTGTGTGTCCAGCTGCTGCAGACCCCAGTGCTGCCAGTCTGTGTGCTGCCAGCCCACCTGCTGCCGCCCCAGCTGCTGCATCTCCAGCTGCTGCCGCCCCTCTTGCTGGGAATCCAGCTGCTGTTGCCCCTCTTGCTGGGAATCCAGCTGCTGCCGCCCCTCTTGTTGGAAATCCAGCTGCTGCCGCCCATGTTGCTGCCTGCGTCCAGTCTGTGGCCAAGTCTCCTGCCACACCACTTGCTATCGTCCAACCTGTGTCATCTCCACCTGCCCGTGCCCCATGCGCTGTGCCTCCTCTTGCTGCTGAGCCCGCTTTCCCTGGCTCACCTCTCCCTTCACTGCTTGCCCACAGATGTAGATCCTTCTGTGCTTCAGCCCATCACCATACTGCTGACTCTGTGAGAACATTCTGGTTCATTTTAAACTCCCTCCCTTGCTTTCTTTTTCTTCCAGTGACGGCACCAAATAGGAACTAATTTGTAATACACTAGCTAAGAAATTTTTCCAATCCTGTAAAGTCTTCATTCTCTTTATCATTTTGAGCCTATAGATTTTCCTTCCTAATGAGGTAGACATTATTTCCCTTTCTAAAGTATTATTTGTCTATCATCCTTTTCTCTTATAAAGATAGGAGGCTGCCCCTCCCATGCTCTCCTGCTTTCTCCCTGCTCTCTCTTCCTTTCTCTGAACAGGTTTGCCAGAGTTTTCCTGTTTTATTAGTTCTTTATCTTTATTGTGTTCACAAAGTAGAGTTTATTAAACTTTTCATTTAGAAATCTTTTATTATTGTTTGTTGTATTTTTTGTGATTATATGCATTGGGTTTACTGAATTCATGGAGATCAGTTGGGAATGCAGTGGAAGGGGAATCTCAAAGCATGACTCCAAAGTAAGACTTCAGGTATAAACTCATAGTGCCAAACTGCTCTCGTGTCGCAGATAAACTAAAATAAAATAGAAGCTTTTCATTGTTTCAGTTGGATAAGCAGAATGGTTTGGGATAGGTAAAGCCCCCATATTGTAGTTTATAAGTTCATCCATGATTTTAGAGCTTATGATATCATGGTAATACTCCTCATTCTTCTGTGTCAAATTTTAAAAGTGCATCTCATCCTACTGCATTGCATCTTGATTCAAATCAGTTAAGGCAGACTCCAAATGTCATATAAGTGAATTTTGTTATTTTGTTGGTGGACCAGTTCAGGTTCTTGAATTTGCTGCACAAAACAAACATATGAAAAAATGCTCATCATCACTGGTCATCAGAGAAATGCAAATCAAAACTACATTGAGATACCATGTCATGCCAGTTAGAATGGCGATCATTAAAAAATCTGGGGACAACAGATGCTGGAGAGGATGTGGAGAAATAGGAACACTTTTGCACTGTTGGTGGGAGTGTAAATTAGTTCAACCATTGTGGAAGACAGTGTGGCGATTCCTCAAGGACATAGAAATAGAAATTCCATTTGACCCAGCAAT